TAACACTATAGTATGCTTAAAATACCTCTAATAAACATAATTTTAAAGGATTTGAATGATTTGTGATCTGTTTCAGCGAGAAAAAGCTATAATAATATAATCATAGATATAGTCATATATTTTAGCGGTCAAAAGGTTTTCGTGTAACATGTTATCAAAGAGAAAGATATATGAAAAAATCTAAAAATATTCTTCTTTGTTAGGTGGTAACAAACCGTGAAACACAAGAGACGCTGTTATGCTTAGCATATGTATTCGAAGTGTCAACCAGCGAACATGGCGCCCAACACCACATCTACAGACTGGTCAAAGACTAAAACAATTTTACTGTAATATGGCTAGCGCTTATAGTCAACCAACGACAAAGTCTTTTACTACACTTTGTGAAAACTTATATTAACAAGCAGTACCAAAAAAACTTGACCAAAAACTAAAACACGACTTAAAACTATGTTTTACAATACTAAAGAAAAHCCTGGAGAATTGTTGAAAATTCTTCAGTGTGAGTTAACTATTTTTCTCAGCAACTTTAGAGCGAGCTTTCTTTAGAAAGCTGTTTTCCATTGTAATTTCTCTCTATTTAGCTATATATAAATATATATAAAAGTATATTTTAGATAAATTCTTACTAGAAATAGTTAGGGGTCATTTGATAACTCTCTATGTAAACAAAACACATATACCTATTCTGCTATGCATAATTTTCTAATTTTTCAAGACTTTTCCATGTCACCCTTTGCTCATAGTATCTTGTTACCTTTGTATAGCTCCATCTTTGTACACTTCACTGTAAAATATATATATTATACACTTTATATAAAGAACTGACTATTGTAGTAAAATGGGAGGGGAGGTTAAGGCTTCAAATGGTAACATTGGGGCGGGGGTAAGAACTCTTCTYGGGAAATGACCCTCGTTTTGATTTGGCCGTGAAATATTGCAATATCGCGCGAATGCAATGCAAATTGATTAAAAGAGTCAKTGAAAGCTTCCTCGTGAAAATTTTCCGCAGTCCGTTAGGGATGTTCAATTTTGTACTTTTTACAGCTAAATTTTAAGCATGCTCTAAAGTCAGGCGATGGCCGTGCGATGATCGCTGGGCTGTTAAAACCTGTGATTTGAGGTGCGCGAGAACAAAATAGGGATTGTCGCGCAACAATCGCGTTGTAGAAACCGCAAATGTAAACGGGCCTTAAAACTCTGCCTGAGAGAGACATGAAAGATGCAAGTCTGTTTAACATTGGCCATCCAACATTTTGGCATGTTGCATGATGTTGTTGGAAGCACAAATCAAATTTGTTGTATTTACTTTGAAGTCTGGCATTTTTTTGATGCACAATAGTTCAGTTTCGCGATCTTTTTTACGCTGTCTTAGCCTCAATTGTGTCCAAAATATTCACAGTGTAGAGTAAAAGAGATCGCTATTACTGAAGGGGTTTATTATAGCGCCGTTTACACGAGCAATTTTTCCTTGACAAGTTTCTTGACAAGGAAGAATTCAGTCCGTGTAAATGATCAATAAGTTTTCCCTGACAATTCCTCCTTGACAATGTTTTTTCTTTGCTCGTGTAAACGAAGAACAAGTTTTCCTTGACAAGGAAAAATTGTTCGTGTAAACGGCGTTTATCAGTCTGAAGACCGTTTTGTTTTGAAAAATTCGCGGTCTTGAGTCTCCTCCGCAGCCGCCATCTTCCCAGAGACCGTTACGTGACGCGTGACTGATAACTGCTGCGGGGATATGTAGTCTTACAGCGGAAAGGCCGTGATTCGGAAAAATTTTGTCGATAGAAGTTTCCGGCTACGTGTTGGCATGCTGTTGGTTRTACGGTAACGAAGGCAGGGGCGGACAGGGGCGGATCCAGAAATTTACGAAAAGAGGAGCCGTTAAGACCGTATCCATCTAGGAAGAACTTTTAAAATTGAGATCCCTCCCCTATCAGGTAAATACAATTTTCAGCTTTCTGAGGGATTTCAATAACGATTTTTTTCTTTCTCAGGTTTTTATCAAATTTTTATTCAGTGACTAGGTCCCCGGCTCCATCCCCCWCTAAATCCGTCACTGAAGTCGACTACTGACTATAAACACTACCTGTCAGTCACGGCACCGCGAGGTCTGTGA